ACAACATAGTCGTACTAGTTTTAGCCGCATTTGCACCTTAACTTTGACATAAAAGTCTACCATTACGTGGACTAGCTGTATAGTTTCAGTTTAGCAAAATAAAATGGTGAATGAATATTTCCTGAGTACTCACATGAGTAACTGAGTACTCACTGAGTAACAATACTCAGAAATTGTTAGTAGTACCAATATGAGTACTCATGGACGAATTATGAGTAAAGTCGTACTCATCGGATGAGTACTTCCACTAGGGTGAGCACTCCCAATAAGTGATAATTTTATAAGTCTTATTCGGAGTACTCATGAGTGCTGTATCATACTCCTATTGATATTTTATTTTTCGAGTGCACGATTTACTGTCCGGAGATTTACTGTCTGTTGATTAATTTCTATTTTAATTAGCTTTTTTTCATAGAAAAAGATAATTTTTGCTATAGAGGATTTACTTTCCGTTGATTACATAGAAATATATTCCAATTTAGCTACTTTCTTATATAAGGGTTTACTTTTCACTGATTATTTGGACGAAAAGCAACGAATGAGCAAATGAATATTCATTGCGACAACGAATAAATTTTCAAGCAGAACAAACATTCATTAATATGGGAACGATGAACTAAATTTTTAATTGGGAATGAGCAATGTTCAATAACTCTGGATACTGGATAATGAGAAATGCTCAGAAAGCAGTGCAGTAATCACGATTTTTAACGTAGTTGCTTTTTTGAGAACTAGAGTAGTCGTCAGCATGATAACCTTTGTAAAAATATGTATAAAAGGTAGAGATACACAACTCTCTTCTTACACTGTTTTAATAATGTCTGCCAAATTTGTTGAATCTACACATGGCAAAAGACAACTATGTTAACTCGCTTATCAATATTCTCCCAAACGTAAAAATCAAAATGGTTCAGAGTATTGGGTATGTGTGAAGTGTAACGCTACAGCAACAAGTTAGTCGGACTCGTCGGTCGTAGTGCGTGACGATCATACACAATTACCTGATGGAACCAATATGGAAATATTACAGATTAGAAAAACTTTAAAACGTAAAGTTATTGAAGAATCGGGTCCAGTAGATCGTATAGTCGAAGAAGTATACCACGCTGCTAATCGTCAATTTCAATCCAATGATTTGATTATTAACTTACCGGCGATTCATATAATGAAAAATACCTTCCAAAAACAACGTCGTAACACTCGTCCGCCAATTCCCCAATCGACTGAACAATTTCCGTATCCATTAGCCGACGTTTATTGCAAAACAACAAAAGGTGAGTTATTTTTGTTATACGATGGCTCACTTGGTGGTACTCGTTCGCTCGTTTTCGCGTCGTATAATGACATCGTTTATCTATTACAGCAAGAATATTGGTACAGTGATGGCACATTTTATACGTGTCCATCCATTTTCTATCAAATATATTCGATTCATACATATTACATAAGTTCACCTCATCCAAAGATTTATATTGCTATTGATTTACTTCAAAAGGAACAATCACTAGCATCGATTGCAAGAGTACGAGATGATATGGCAGCTTGAACTCCAAAACGTCGAAAAAACAAAGTTATAACAGATGAATGTCTAATGAAATTATGTCAACGTTATGATGACGGTCGTATTGTCATTCCAGCGTTCTTCAAAGCTGCCGGTATGAGATATTTTCAACGTCCATCAAAAAGTTAAAAAAGTCATCGTTTTTCGTTTTTACTAATAAACACCAGTACTACATTTTTTTTCCAGAGCTCGGGCAATTGTACTAATGTTAAGAGTCTAAAACGATAACTAAATCACCAAGTGTGTATATGTGCGTATATATTAAGTTAGGAACTCAGGAAGAGAAGAGTATTATTCTCCACTTCGGATATTATCCCACTCTCAGATTCTGAAAATCTAAAAATGTAAAATTCCAAATATTTCTCGATTGAGAGAATAGTGAAACTCTAAACTACACAGATTCTGAAACTATGAGAAACTGAGATTCTCAAATTCTAAATATCTTGAAATTCATAGAACAGCGTTGTTCAAAACTTCTGAGATTCTGTAATTCCAAAAATTGATCTGTTGCGAGAATAGTATTACTCTAAACTTCTTGGATTCCGAAATACTGAAACTGTAAATATTTCTGAACTGGGAGAATAGTGT